GATACTGCCTCTGTTTTTAATTGTGTAGTACAAATACTCATGGCATAGTATATTTCTGAAAAAATGATAGACATATTAAGAAAATAGACACTATTTCTAAACTTTGTTAGGAATAAGAAGGCACCACTGATTTGAGGTTGTGTCCTGTCATTTGATAGTTGATTTTGAGTTGTTTATTTCAGGATTTGCTCTTATTAAACTTTTTTCCTGGTGATATCACTTGAGACCATTATTGTAGTTTACGGACCACAAACAGACACATTCATAGCAGTATTTCATCATGGAGAGGTCATTCACAGTGTATGTTGACAAGACAGATTCTTTTCCACCTCTAGCTGGAATCCATACTGCAGAACAATGTATTTTAGATCCGCATAGCTCAATTCCATGGAAAGTTTATTCGCCAGATTTTTGAAGTGGTAGAGCAGAGGACCTAGATTTATCCAAATTCCGCCTGGCTTGAGTATTTTCCATATTGTGTCAATATAATCAATTACATTGTGAGCTGTGTCTATGAAGAAACAGGTAGCAATACAGTCCCAGGTATTGCATTCTGAGTATATCTCCTGAAAATCTGCTGCTGTCATAGAAAAATTAGAACCAGGAGGAAGACAGCGGGGGTCAACATCAGGGAAAAAGATGGGTCAAATCTGATCAGCTGACCTCCAGTTATTGCTAAACTGATGGACCCAGGGATAAAGCTTATATATTTTTCTTTTTTATTTATTTTTTATTGCTTAAAGTATTACAAAGAGTAGTACATATGTCTCCTTCCCGCCCCCCCTTGACAATCCCCCGGCGTCCCCTACCCCCCAGTGTCTTGTGTCCATTGGTTATGCTTATATGCATGCATACAAGTCCTTCGGTTGATCTCTTACCCGGCCCCCCACCCCCTGTCCTGCCCCCTAACCCTCCCCAGCCTTCCAGCTGTAGTTTGACAGTCTGTTCAAGGATGCTCTGCCTCTGTATCTATTTTTGTTCATAAGTTTATAATGGTCTTTATTATCCATAAATGAGTGAGATCATGTGGTATTTTTCTTTCATTGACTGGCTTATTTCACTTAGCATAATGCTCTCCAGTTCCATCCATGCTGTTGCAAATGGTAAGAATTCCTTCCTTTTTACAGCAGCATAGTATTCCATTGTGTAGATGTACCACAGTTTTTTAATCCACTCTACTGCTGATGGGTACTTAGGCTGTTTCCAGATCTTAGCTATGGTAAATTGTGCTGCTATGAACATAGGGATGCATATATCCTTTCTGATTGGTGTTTCTGGTTTCCTGGGATATATTCCTAGAAGTGGGATCACTGGGTCAAATGGGAGTTCCATTTTTAACTTTTTGAGGAAACTCCACACTGTCTTCCATAGTGGCTGCACCAGTCTGCATTCCCACCAGCAGTGCACGAGTGTTCCTTTTTCTCCACATCCTCTCCAGCACTTGTCGTTTGTTGATTTGTTGATGATAGCCAGTCTGACAGGTGTGAGATGGTACCTCATCGTTGTTTTGATTTGCATCTCTCAGATGATTAGTGACTTTGAGCATATTTTCATGTGTCTCTTGTCTTTCTGAATGTCCTCTTTTGAAAAGTGTCTATTTAGGTCCTTTGCCCATTTTTTGATTGGATAAAGCTTATATTTATTAATTTCAGAACATCTGTTGAGTACAAAGTTGGAAGAAAAGAGCATTAAAAAACCTCCATTCGTTTTCTTGACAAGCATAACCTAGCATAGCTATTTCCCAGGCCAGTCTTCCTAGTTCAGCATCAGGTACCAGAATATTTACTTTAGAAGGATCCCATCTCTTTTGGAAAAATTTTAAAAATTTCTTTAATGATTGGCTGGTAGCAGGCATCCCTTTCTGCTTTTCCACTTTCACACCAGTCTCTCACAAACTGTTTCAATGTGAATTTTAACTTATCCATGTCAAACGTAGAGGCTGACATAATCTTCCCATTCCCATTTTATCCATATTCTTTATTTGCAAACATATGTATGCAATCATTCACAATGGTCAGTAGTTTTCCTTGATTATGATCAATGTATTTCCGGATCTTGTCCAAGTGGAGAAGAAACTGAGGCTGGAGTTTCTGTTGATTAGCTGGAAGTGATCGAAATTGTCTTTCTGTTCGGTTCACTCACTCATGCATACTGGTGCCATAGTAGCGGAAGGCACTGATGATCTTCCAGGAGTGCTCGCGCTGGAGCCTCCGTCGTCCTCGTCCTCCCCCTCCCCCCTCTCCTCCTCCTCCGTGTTGTGCGTGGCCTGGCTGCCGCCCCGCGGAATCCACTTCCCCGGAGCCCAAGACCGACCCCCACGCCGCTGCATAGCTGCTGCAGCCCTCAGCCTGGCTCTCTTGCGTCTGGCTGCGAAGGCAGCCATGGCTGTCATGTAGCCCACGTAAGCCTCCTCTTTGATTGGAATGTATAAAATAAGGTGCAAAACTGCCGTTCTCCGGAGCATGTTCTCCATCTGCTAAGACTGCTTCCTCGTCATTGTGGCCAGTTTGCCGCAAATAAACTCATAAAAATTCTCTACAGTTTGAATGGTTTTCACGGCGACGCCATCTAAGAGGACCGAGGTCAGTGCCCCACTACCCTGTCAGGCACTGACTGCTTCAGACCACCCAGGACCAGCGTCACTGGCTTCCTACAGGGCCACTGCCAACCTTCACACCTGTGAAGAGCATCTGAGTTTATTTGAGCCAAACTGTCGATAGCTGCCGGGACGCAGCAGCATTTTAACGCATTGGGATAACACCCGGAGAATGCATCTTTCACCTATTTTTATACATCACCATCAAAGGAGGAGACACGGGTGGGTTTCAGGAGATCCATACCGCGGTTCTCAACCTGTGGGTCGCGACCGTCGGAAAACACATATATAATTTCATATTGTTTTTGTGATTAATCACTATGCTTTAATTATGTTCAATTTGTCACAATGAAAATATATCCTGCATATCAGATACTTACATTACAATTCATAACAGTAGCAACATTACAGTTATGAAGTAGCAACGAAAATAATGTTATGGTTGGGTCACAACATGAGGAACTGTATTAGGAAGGGGCATTAGGAAGGTTGAGAACCACTGAAGGTTGGGAGAAAGCAACGCAGGGAAGCCTGTGGGACTGGGTGGAAAGTAAAGTGACAGACAGGCTGCTTTTAGGCAGGTGGGTGCAGGGCAGCTGGCAGCTGACAATTAACACCGTAAGGAGGGCACTGCGCCCCTGCGCCCAGGCACGTGGCTGCGCCCTGAGGGCCTGGACGCGAGGGGGGTGACCCTGACCCTGACGTTGCACAGGGTGTTGTCTTAGATGCAAAAAGACAGTAAGCTCAGTCAAGACTGAAACTTGGCCTTGGTCAGCCAGGACATGGCTACCCACTATAAACTGCTCTTATTAAAGGTTTTCAGACCACCTTTCGTGGTCACTTCAGAGCTCTGAGGTCCCCGAGTCGGCAGCTTAGCGCTCGGCCAAGGGGCCGCCACGTCCCCGAACCCCGGTTCACAGACGCGGGGTGCGGCCCGGCACCACCTCCGGCGGCCGGGCTGCCAGGGGCTCGGGCCCGGCTGTCTCCAGAGCGGTCCCCCCATCCCCGCCCCCGTCCGCGCCCGCCTGCTCCACCCACCTCCGGAAGAAGCCCGGCCCCGGTGATGACGCACTTCCGCGCGCCGGGAGACGGGGGGCGGGGCGCGGGCGCGGGGCGTCAGACCTCCTCCGCCGCCTCCGCCTGGGCCGCCGGCCCGCAGGCACCAGCTCGGAGCCCATGAGGGCGCGGGCGGGCGGCGCAGTCCTGCCGGGGCGCCGGGAGCGGGAGCCGGCGCGGCCTGAGCGGGGAGCCCGAGGCGGGAGCCATGGCCGAGGAGCGCGCGGGCGCGCGGGCCGCCGGCGGATGCGGGGTGAGCGGGCGCGGGGGGAGCGTGGGGCCGGCCGCCTGCGGAGGGTCGGGCTCTTGCTGAGTTTCCCGTTCAGGGGTGTCGGCCCAGGTTCGCGGCGCGGTCCGGGCAGCCCGTGGGGGCGGGGGGCTGCGGTCCCGGCTCGGCTCGGCGGGAGGTTCGTGCGCCTCTGCAGCCGCCGGGCCGGCCGGGCCTGAGCCGGGAGCCGCGCGACGCCGGTGTCTCACAGCCCTTTCCTTCCCGCCCCTCCGCCCCGCTCCCGTCCACTTAGGAAAGAGAAACCTTAGGACGAACAGGAACTCACACCAAGGAAACGTTTTTCCAATGAAAAGTGGAAATTTCGGGACAATTAAAGATACGTAGTAGACTTCACATTTTTAACTCGCATGTCTACGTTTGCTTTTAAGGAATGGCAAGTGCTTGCATATGGGGGTGCGCGCCCCATTCGTGGGACTGGGAGGAGGCGCAGGGGGAGCGTCCTACGTGGACGGCGGCGGAGCGGGTTTCTGGTCCCGGTTCTGCCGGGACCGCGGGCAGCGGCGGCCCGTCGGCCTGGCCGGCGCCTAATCCGTGAATAGCCGGCGAGTGCCCACGGGGAATTAGCTTTGAAAAGGCGGGAGAGCGAGAGGGGGTCCTCATTCAAACGCAGGATTTCTGGATTGTCGGACATTTATCGTGACAGGGGAGGGACCTATTGAGTTGTTTTTTCTTCCTTTTTCTGGTTATGTTAAAAGCAGGCTGGTTCGCCCTGACCGGTTTGGCTCAGCGGATAGAGCTAGAGCGTCGGCCTGCGGACTGAAAGGTCCCGGGTTCGATTCCGGTCAAGGGCATGTACCCTGGTTGCGGGCACATCCCCAGTGGGGGGTGTGCAGCAGGCGGCTGATCGATGTTTCTCTCTCATCGATGTTTCTAACTCTCTGTCCCTCTCCCTTCCTCTCTGTAAAAAATCAATAAAATATATTTTTTTAAAAGGCTGGTTACCTTTCTGCCCCTACAAAACCAAGCTGCCAGCTCCTCCTGCTTTTTTGAGTTGATGGACAGTAATTACGAACTGGTGGCCAGCTAGTAATCTAGGGCCTAACTTTCATTGTCTCGCACCTGCACATTCAGCACGTTGCCGAGTCAGCTCCCAGGTGAAGACGAGGTGGTATCTTCCTCTCCTGCCTGTGGCTCCGGCCTCAGCACTTCTGACCTGGATTTTGACTCTCGCGTACCTCACCGCCAGCTTGCCTTCCACAGTGTGCATCGGTGTGGTCTCGCCTGCAAACACCATTACGGCTCTCCGCAGTGCTGCTCGTGGTTCCCTGGGATAGAAAGATAATCTGCGGGTGGAGCACTTAGCATGGGATTCGATGAGCTTGCTTGGAATCCCAGTTCCCACCGTAACTGTAACTTGGGGCAAGTTACACACCACCTCTCCGAATTAATAGTAATATTTCCCTCAGAGGATTGTGAGGGTACCACCACCTGGCACCTAGTGAGTCTTCCGTAAATATTAGCTGTTATTTTTCTTATTTCTCAATATGTTTGGCATAAATGATTGGTCAGAATGTTTAAGGGTTCCCTGATTAATAAGAGTATTCAGTTCTCTCATTTACTAATCAATACAGGAACTAGAACCCACTCTAAAAATTAAAATTGTTCATTATGTGCTTAGAGTAGGAACTTTTAAGGAATGTTTACTTAAAGAAACCTAGACAATTTATTCCCATATTCCTTCTCTGAATCCTGAAGGTTACTTGGCCACAAGTAGATGTTCCCGTCCAGGCTTTCCTTTTCTCTGAAGGTGCATAAAGTCACTATGTATTAATAAATTGCAACAAATACAGGAAATGAGTTTCCTTGGTGCTTGGTGAGTTAGTGAGAAAGCTGGCCTGGGCAGGTGGCACTGGTGCTTTTTGGAATGTGTGGTGGCTGAGAAAGCAGTGAATGCCTTTAGTCAGATATGTTCATGTCATATGCCAGTGCCTCCAAATTATGCGTCTTCCCTGCTTGCAGTTTCTGTTTACTAGGTGTACCAGTTAGAAATGCGGATGTTTTTCAATAGATGGAGTTACACATATGTTTATATAAATGCGATTTGATATGTATGCTATTTTGTTGTATTGACAGCAAGCTTCAAAACTTCATTGTCAAATTTGCTGAAGGTATTAACATTATAGATACTTTTACGCTTAAAAATGTCAAATTTTTCATGCCAAAAAAAGAGCATTTGTGGGAAGTTTTAATTCATTGTAACATTTTGAAGAAAAGTGCTGCTGAATACTTTGGGAAGCTTATGGTGAACAGGCTCCATCTCAAGATACTTGTGAGCGCTGGTTTAAACGCTTTAAAAGTGATGATTTTGATGTGAAAGACAAAGAACGTCCAGGTCAAACGAAAAAGTTTGAAGACCAACAATTACAAGCATTATTGGATGAAGATGCGTGTCAAACTCAAAAACAACTTGCAGAAAGATTAAACGTTGTTCAGCAAACAATTTCCGGTCATTTACAAGCACTGGGAAAGGTTTTAAAGCAGGGGTCCTCAAACTTTTTAAACGGGGCCAGTTCACTGTCCCTCAGACCGTTGGAGGGCCGGACTATAGTTTTAAAAAAAACTGTGAACAAATTCCTATGCACACAGCGGCGGCAAAAACACCCGGCGGGCCAGATAAATGTTTTCGGCGGGCCGCATGTGGCCCGCGGGCCGCAGTTTGAGAACCCCTGTTTTAAAGGAAGGAAAATAGGTGCCAACATCAACTGAACGAAAGACAAATGGAAAACCAAAAAGTCATCAGTAAAATGTAGCTTCAATGGCACAAAAGAAAGTCTTTTTTGCATTGAGTTGTGACTGGCGATGAAAAGTGGATTTATTTTGAGAGTCCCAAACACACAAAATCATGGGTTGATCCAGGTCAACCATCAACATCGACTGCAAGGCCAAATCGCTTGGGAAAGAAGACAATGCTCTGCGTTCGGTGGGATCAGGAAGGTGTGGTGTATTATGAGCTTCTAAAACCAGGTGAAACGGTTAATACTGATCGCTACCGACAACAAATAATCAATTTGAACCACGCTTTGATCGTGAAACGACCAGAATGTGCCAGAAGACACGGCAAAGTAATTTTGCTTCATGATAATGCACCATCACACACCTCAAAACCAGTTAAAGACACGTTAAAAGATCTTGCCTGGGAAGAATTAACCCACCCGCCGTATTCACCAGACCTTGCTCCTTCAGGTTACCATTTGTTCTGATTGATGGCACACCCACTTTCTGAGCAGCACTTCAAAACGTACGAAAAAGTAGAAAATTGGTCTCTGAATGCTTTGCCTCAAAACAAGAAAAGTTCTATTGGGACGGTATCCACAAATTACCTAAAGATAGGGTAAATGTGTAGCTAGCGATGGACATTACTTTGAATAAAGCACTTTTCATGTTTCTCTTGAAATTATCGTGTTTTCTTTGAGTACAAAATCCGCCATTATTAACCAGTACACCTAGTAGTATCACTTCAGGTGCTATTTTCTACAGGTCCCAGGACTTGGTTTTATTTTAATGTGTTGGAATTTCCCTATAGCTTGACTTCATGGTTTCAGGTTCTTAGAAGCTACTACTCTAGGGAAAGACTGCCCATGCTACTACTCTAAGGAATTGGCTGCTGCCTTTTTTCTACCTTGTTTGGCAAAGAGGTATATTTACCTAAAAAAGATATTGGCAAAGAGATGTATTAACCTGAATAATAGAGGGGAACCAACTAATCATTGCTTTCTATGAAAGGGAGGTGTGCATTAATTTTTTTATATGGTGCAGCATGATAATGGAAGTTCTTTTTGCATATAGATAACTGGTTGCTGTATCATTTGTTGAAAAGGCGTTTTTATTCACTGAATTGCCTTTGTAGCTTTGTCAAAATGTTAGTCTATTCTGGATTCTCTTTCATTGATCTATCTATTTGTTTATCTTTACATTAATACTATTCAGTCTCTGTTATTGGAAGTTCATAATAAGAACAAATAAGAGTTAGTTCTATGACCTTGTTCTTCTCTTTTAAAATTGTTTTGGCTATTTGGGGTCTTTGCATTTTATAAGTATTGAATCAGCTTATGAATTTCTACCAAAAAAAGAAAAAGTCTGCTGGTATTTTCTTTCTTATCCTATATAATAAAAGAGCTAATATGCAAATAGTGGTCATGCCATCATGCCTGGACCTGAGGCCACACACCCCTGTCCCCACGCTGGGGCCGGGGACCTGAGGCTGTGCCCCCCGCCCAGGCAGGACTTGATGGAGGACCTGAGGCTGTGTCCCCCCTCCCCCCCCGGCAGGGCTTGGGAGGGGACCTGAGGCTGCACCCCCTGCCCAGCAGGGCTTGGGGGGGGGGGGGAGGTCAGCCGGGTCTGGGTCTCATGCGATTTCGAGGCATGGGCAGGGATTTGACTCAGGGTCCCGTGGTGCACCCCAGACTCTGACAAGAGGGAGATTTTCATATACATTTTACTAATTTTCTTTCATCTATGACGCTTCTATTATAGAGAAAGGGCAAATAGCAATATTAAAATATTTCCTCTAATTCCCTTTTAATGTGCACGATTTCGTGCTTTGGGCCACTAGTGTGTGTGTGTGTGTGTGTGTGTGTGTGTGTGTGTGTATTTATCATTGATTTCAGAGAGGAAGGGAGAGGGAGAGAGAGATAGAAACATAAATGATGAGAGAGAATCATCGCACACCCCCTACTGGGGATCGACCCCGCAACTCGGGCATGTGCCCTTGGCTGGAATCGAACCTGGGACCCTTCAGTCCATAGGCCGATGCTCTATCCACTGAGCCAAACCGGCTAGGGCCCTGTTGGTATTTTCATTGGGATGGTGTTGATTCTGAAGATTAAAAACAATACTGAGCGTTCTGATCCATGAATGCATCATCTCTCCATTTATTTTAGATCTTCTTTAATTTCTCTCAGCTGTGTTTTGTAGGTTTCACTGTGTAATTCTTCCACAACAGTTGTCAGATTACTCCCTATTTCATATTTTGGTGCTATCGTACATGTAATATAAATGTAATACAAATGTAAGTTCTTAAAAAAATTAAATTCACAATTGTTGCCAATATATGGAAATAGAGTTGATTTAAGAAATATTTTAATAGCCATATTTAACAAAATTTACCATTTTAACCATTTTAAGTAGTTCATTAGTGTTAATTATGTTCACATTGTTTTACAATCTCCAGAACTTTTTTATCTTGTAAAACTGAAACTTTATATCCATTAAATAGCCACTCCCATTTACTCCATCACAAATCCCCTAACAACCACCATTCTGCTTTCAGCTTCTTAGTTTGACTTCTCTAGATACCTCATATAAGTGAAGCCATTTACTGTTTGTCTTTTTGTGACCAGTTTATTTTACTTAGATGTGATGTCCTCAAGGTTGTTGTTGATACATGTTGTCATCAACACTGTGTAAATCGGGTTATTTGGTGTGTTTTTTTGTTGAGTTGTAGAAGTTTCTAATATATTCGAGATATTAGCTCATCAGATATATGCTTTACAAATATTTCCTCCACAGCTCCACAGGTTGCCTTTTCATTCTGTTGATTGTGTCCTTTGATCTATAGAAGTTTTAAATTTTGGTAAAGTCCAGTTAAAGTTTGTAATTTTGATGAAGCCCATATCTGTTTTTTCTTTTGTGGCTTATAGTTTGGAGTCATATCTAAGCATCCATTACTAAATCCAAGATTTACATCTGTGTTTCCTGTGAGGAGTTTTATGGTTTTAGCTGAGGTCATTCATTCATTTTGAATTACTTTTTATACATGGTGTGAGGTAGGTCCAGCTTTATTCTTTATAAGTGGAAATTCAGTTGTCTCAGCCCTCTTTGTTGAAGCAATTGTTCTTTCCCCACTGAATGGATTTGGTGCTGTTGCCCGAAATCAGCTGGACATGCATACATGGGTTATTTGTAGACTCTACTTTTTATTCTGTTGGTGTGTATGACAGCCTCTCTGTCTTTTGCTTCCATGTTGACAGGTCACTGATGTTTACTGGGATCCTGTGTGAAACAAGTGGGAGTAATTTTTAACCTTATCTTTTTCCAACTGACAACAGATGACCTGATTGACAAAAGCCATATGCCCTAGTTTATCTGAACTTTTCAGGTCATGGTGAGAAAGCAGATGAGGGGGTTAATAGAGATTGTCCTTTTGCCCAGTTACACACTAGCCAGGCCACATTCCTTAGTGTGGGGAAAGGGGTGGGTCCGTGAGTAAAGGTGTATACTGCTTTGCTTAAGGAGCGCTCCTATTTACCTCTTGCTCAGGTTGCTGCAGTCCAGGCTGCCTGCCATATATCTGTGCTAATTCCATTTGGGGAGAAGTTTGGGCTAAGAGAAAGGCAGTGTAAGTAATACAGTGGTAACACACACTCCGGAGGTATATGACTCTGGATGGAATACCAGCGTAGGCAGTTACTAACCATTGGAGTTAGGCAAGTTACAAGTATATTCTCCATCTGAGTTGTGTCATCTATAAAATTAGGGGTTAATAGTTACTATCTCAAAAGTGTAATGTGTGTGATCAGTGTGTGGCATAGTGTCTGTGGCCACTGTCACAGGACCCTGTTTTGCCTGGGTATAGCTCAGGATTCTTTGTAATAGACTGTCCTTGTCCTTCAGAGTGTTCATTTCCTTTTAAATTTTACATCCATGAAATGGGAGCAGGAATAGTTTCTATTGTTGCTAGTATTGTCCCCAGCATCTAGCTGATATATAGTAGATAGAGCTCAGCAAGTAACTCCTCAGTTGGAGTTGAGTACTTTTATTCTTTTCCTTTTTTAAAAATGGACCCCAGTTTTTGGGAACTCATTTTATTTTTATTTATGTTGTTAATCCTCACCCGAGGATATTTTTTCCATTGGTTTTTAGAAAGGGTGATAGGAAGAGAGAGAGAAAGAGAAACATCGATGTGAGAGAGTCATATCGATTGGTTGCCTCCTGCACACCTGTCAAGGGCCAGGGATTGAACCTGCAACCCAGGTATGTGCCCTTGACGACCCTTTCAGTGTGTGGGCTGATGCTCTAACCATTGAGAAACACCAACCATGATGTGTATTTTTATTCTTTTTTAAAGTATATTTTTATTGGTTTCAGAGAAAGAGAGAAATGGAGAGGAGGATAGAAACATCAATGATGAAAAAGAATCATTGATTGGCTGCCTCCTGCATGCCTCCTCCTGGGGACTGAGCCTGCAACCCGGGCATGTGCCCTGACAGAATCAAACCATGACCTCCTGGTTCATGGGTCAGTGCTCAACCACTGAGCCACGCCAGCTGGGCTTTCAGGAATTCTTGTTGCCCTTTCTGACCACAACTGTCTGTAATACCTAACTAGTACATTTTTAAAATGAAATATCAAAAAATGGTTTGTGTGAATATTATTCTTTAATCTCACAAATATTTTATGAAGTTATGTTTGAACTGAGGGATGAGATTGGAGAATTACAAAAGGAACCTCATCGTGTTACAAAAGCAGTCTTAAGAGTTTAAACCTCATCATGAGGGCAAAAGGAGGGTGGTTGTATCACTTAATAATTACTACATAAGAAACTACTCCCAAATTAGTAGCTTTTCACAATACTTTGGGGGGGTTAGCAGTTTGGGCCACATTCGGCCAGGGGTTCTTCATTAGCTTTGATGGCAGATACTGTAGTCATCTGGAGGCTTGGAGTTGGGTGGGTGACTTAAGATGGCCGTGCTCCTTTTGTCAGGCAATGGGTGATGGCTGTTCACTGCTGGGTCTAAGGGGCACCAATTGGGAGGCTTAAAATGCTCTCATTCTCCTGTACCTAAGGGATTTCTCCACTTGGTATTGAAGACTTCTAGGGGTCTAGATTCAGAAGTCCACCTTGTTATTTCACCTGACATCTGTTGGTTAAGCCAGCTCCAATCCAGGAAGTGGAGAAATAACTCCACCTATTGATGGAATCGGCAGCACAGATATGTTGCCAAAATGTTGGTATACAGGAATAGGAGGAATTTTTGGGCCGGTTTTTGTAGTCTTGTGCAGGCGTGACAGGATGAGATTTGTATTTTAGAATGATCACTCTGTAGTGTCAAAGGGGCAGGAAAGAGTCAAGGCAGGGCTCCAAGGCCACAGTAGTCAGCTATGGGAGAGATGGTAATGTGAGTGTGTGAAGACATCATGACACTTATTTTAAAAAAATTTTTAATTGATATCAACAAGAAAGGTAGAAGGAGAGAGAAACAGAAACATCAATGATGAGAATTGTTGGTTGGCTGCCTCCTGCATGCCCCCTATTGGGGACTGAGCACGCAACCCAGGCATGTGCCCTGACCGGAATTGAACCAAGACTTCCTGGTTCATAGTTTGCCGCTCAACCTCTGAGCCAGGCTGACTGGGCACGACTCATTTTTCATCGTCTGCTTTCAAATGTCTCAAGATGTTCTGTAATGATTTATAAAAGGGCAACAAAATGAAGAGGGGAGACATTGAACTGATTTGAGAGAGGCAGTACTAGATCAGGCTCAACTGGAAATAATTGTGTGTTTTTTTAATCCTCACCCAAGTATACTATATTTATTGATATATTATTTTTTTTAGAGCGAGAGGGAAACATTGATGTGAGAGAGAAACATCGAGTGGTTGCCTCTCATATGCTGTCCAACTAAGGACCAGTTTTGCAACCTTGGTATGAGCCAGCAACCTTTTGGTGTATGGGACAATGCTCCAACCTACTGAGCCACACCGGCCAGGGCAATAATCGGTTAATTTTTTATAAAGCCTTTCTAATTAGCTCAGATAATTTAAAGGAGAAATAAATGTATGACACTTTTTTCCTCAGCATATTGGGCCCCAAGAACTTAGAAATAATTGCAAGTAAGGAAGATTTACTTTTGTTACCATTTGTCTGATTGCTCACACGAAGTGCCCACCATGTCAAGGCCTGCCTGTTGCATTTTTCTCATATATCACTGTTAGTTGTTAGGTACGTATGATAGTACAATTAAAGTAATTTATGTAGAGAGGAGAATAATAACGTAATATTTGCATTTTAAAAGAGACCTGTTTTATTTTTTTTATCATTTTTTAAAATTTTATTTATTTATTTTTAATTTATTGCTTAAAGTATTACAAAGGGTATATGTGTCCATTTTACCCCCCCGCCCTAGACAGTCCCTTAGCCTCCCCTATCCCCCAGTGTCTTATGTCCATTGGTTATGCTTATATGCATGCATACAAGTCCTTTAGTTGATCTCTTACCCCCCTACCTCCTGCCCCCCAACCCTCCCCAGCCTTCCCGCTGCAGTTTGACAATCTCTTTGAGGCAGCTGTGCCTCTGTATCTATTATTGTTCAAAAGTTTATAATGTGAGACCTGTTTATTTTTTAAATTTTTACTTTAAAATATATAATGTGTGAACAAAAAGGTGGGTTGTCTGGGTTTATTTGTTTTTTGCAAGGTATTAAAAATAATAGCATGAAGAAATGTGCACATAGAATAAAATGTGCATCTTAAAAAATATTTAATCAGCATTGCAGCACCATGGTCTCTATCCAATGGTCTCCATAAATAAAGCTTCATTGTTTGGGAAAGAGCACCAAGTCACAGAAACTGCAAATTAAAAAAAAGAGTAGTCTTCCTGTGCTTCCTACTTGTAGCTGTTTTTTGGAGTTTTTTGAGATTCTTTTTTTTTTTAATATATATTTTATTGATTTTTTTTTTACAGAGAGGAAGGGAGAGGGATAGAGAGTTAGAAACATCAATGAGAGAGAAACATGCCTCCTGCACACTCCCTACTGGGGATGTTCCCACAGTCAAGGTGCATGCCCTTGACTGGAATCAAACCTGGGACCTTTAGTCCGCAGGCTGACTCTCTATCCACTGAGCCAAACCGGGTTAGGGCTTGAGATTCTTGATAAATAAAACAAATGATTCAAGAGCTGTAGACTATTTATTGACATTCACGCTGTTTGACTGTTTGGAAGCATTTGCTTTGCTGTATACAGTGAGTGACTATCAGAATTTTCAACCAAGTAATTATGAAATTATCAGTAAAAGCAAATAGGCTATTTACTTTTAAAAATATATCCTTAAAAATAAAATAAAATAAAAATATATCCTTTTGCCACCCTATCTCCTACTTTTGTTATCATCTAATACCAGTGCAGTTTAAAATTTCCATGATTGACTTAAAATTGTCTCTTTTTTTCCAGTTTATTTAAATCAAAACTCAAAGTCCACATATTTTTTAAATTTATTTTAATCTATATACTAACATAGTTCTCCCTCCTTTTTTCTTTTCTTTATACCATTTCTTTGTTGAAAGAAACTGGTCTATTTCTTTCAAATTTTTTCTACATTCTAGGTTTTGCTGTTTAAAAGACCAGAAAAATGACTTTAGTTTGGTTGTTGTGACTGTGGTCTTTCTTCCTTTACTTCTGTCTTTTATAACATTGAGATTTTTAAGAATAGGCCAGTTGCCTTGTTGAATGTCCCACAGTCTGGATTTGTCTGATCTTTTGTTATGATTAGATTCTAGTTAAATAATACATACGTAATTTTACCTTTTCAAAAAATTTTTTTAAAAATATACTTCATTGAATTTTTTACAGCGGGGAAGGAAGAGGGATAGAGAGTTAGAAACATCGAAGAGAGCGAAACATCGATTTAGCTGCCTCCTGCACACTCCCCACTGGGGATGTGCCTGCAACCAAGGTACATGCCCTTGACTGGAATCGAACCTGGGACCCCTCAGTCTGCAGGCCGATGATCTATTCACTGAGACAAACTGGTTAGGGCTGTAATTTTACCTTTTGAAGACTTGAAAATATAAACATAGGAATCATGTGGGTTTTACAGAATCTTTTGTACGTTCACTTCTAGGTCTACCAAGTGCTAACAGCACCTGATCTCGATAATAAGCGTTGTAACAGAGGCAGAGAACATTCAGTTAAGAGGAGTTTTAGATTTCCTCTCCAGGAAGTCACAAACTGCAGAAAACTAGCAGAATAGGCCCAGTCTTAAAACAGAAACAGGAAACAAGATTTTGACACTTTCAGGTATGGTGTATGTTTCTTCCCCTAACCACTGAATTTACATCATCTGCACTTCCCTGAAGCTTTTGAGCATATGATTGACTCCAGTGCCTGCGTTTCCTTATGTGGCTAGAGGAACTTTAGACCTATAGAGGCCAAGATGCTGAAAAACAGCACATAATTAAGAAGAAACCAAGATGGCGACATAGGTAAACACCTGAAAATGCTGCCTTGCACAACCACTTCAAAACTACAACTAAAAGACAAAACAGACATCATCCAGAACCACAGGAAGGCTGGCTGAGTGGAAATTCTACAACTAGAAGGAAAGAGAAAAGCACACTGAGACTCAGAGGAGGTGTGGAAGGAAAGTGCAGAGGTATGGAGGCGCACGTGTGGAAAGGGCCGGCAACGGAGGACGCCAGTGTCTTTTTCAATCGGGAGGGAGTTACAAGCTCCCGACTGCTCTGAACTCCAGTTCTGGGAAGTCTCTGGGGACCCAGGACTCTTAGGGGGAGAAACTGGACTGTCTCGCATTGGGCGGAACTCGAGGGTGGCTTTCTCTCAGAGGTGCTTGCAGCGATTACCGGGACACTGAGACGGGACACTGAGATCTGGGGGCCACTTAGGGCAGGGCTGAGGATCAGCCATAGCTGTTTGCTCTGCCCAGTTGATTCCCTGAGACACTGCCCCACCGAAGTTGCTAGCAGAGGCTTTTGCATATGAATGGGCTGTCACTTTGAGATCTAAAATTACCTAACATACTGCAGCTGGGTCAGAGAGACCCAGAATATCCAAAAGAAGGCCCAAGGCCCCACAGAAGCTTGCATTGCTTCACAGCTGGGCCTCACCTGGGCATCTCCAAACCCCAAACAAGGAAGAGGAATCTGCAGATCTCTCCCTAGCTCCTGCTGGGTAGCCTCAGGCAGAGGCTAAAATAGCACCTCCTTAGAGATCCAGGTGTCAGTGTACCCAGTGGTCAGAGTGGGACCATCCAATTACAACTCCTCAGATCCATAAGGGACACACTCAGGGGGCAGACTCAGTGAGCACCAAAGCCCGACTGAAGCAAGTATTGCCCCAGAACGGTGTCTTCAGCACAGAAATTCTCCCACTGTAGACACAGCTGATTCTCACAGACAGTTGGCCCGGAGGTCAATTCCTCCCAGTGATACCTACAATAATCAACGCTTAACTACAACAAGACTGTGCACACAGCCTACAAAGGGGTGCATCAAGAGTGTCCACCTCAGGTAATTGGGGAGGCTGGGCCACTGAGCCCTATAGGACACCTAGCACAGAAAGGCACTCTATCAACACAGGGAAGCAGCCAGAATGCGGAGACAAAGCAACAGATCACAAATGACAAATGGAGGAAAGCAAACTACTGGATATAGAGTTCAAAACCACGGTTATAAGATTTTTCAAGAATTTTCTAGAAACCACCGATAAACTTAGTGAGACCCTCAAGGATATGAAAAAGGACCAACTAGAAATTAAGCATACACTGACTGAAATAAAGAATAATGTACAGAAATCCAATAGCAGACAAGAGGATCCCAAGAATCAAGTCAAAGATTTGAAATACGAAGAAGCAAAAATCACCCAACCGGAAAAGCAAAAAGAAAAAGAATCCAAAAATATCTAGATAGTGTAAGGAGCCTCTGGGACAACTTCTGGCATACCAACATCCGAATTATCGGGGTGCCAGGAGAAGAGAGAGAACAAGATATTGAAAACCTGTTTGAAGAAATAATGACAGAAAACCCCCTAACTGATGAAAGAAATAGACTTACAAGTCCAGGAAGTGCAGAGAACACGAAACAAAAGGAATCCAAAGAAGACCACACCAAGACACATCATAATTAAAATGCCAAGGGCAAAAGACAAAGAGAATCTTAAAAGCAGCAAGAGAAAAAAAGTCAGTTACCTACAAGGGAGTACCCATACGATTGTCAGCTGATTTCTCAACAAAAACTATGCAGGCCAGAAGGGAGTGGCCAGAAATATTCAAAGTGATGAATAGCAAGAACCTACAACCAAGATTACTTTATCCAGCAAAGCTGTCATTCAGAATTGAAGGTCAGATGAAGAGCTTCACTGATAAGAAAAAGCTAAAGGAGTTCATCACCATCAGACCAGTATTATATGAAATGCTGAAACGCATTCTTTAAGAAGAGGAAGAAGAAGAAAAAGGTAAAGATAAAAATTATGAACAACAAATACGTATCTATCAACAAGTGAATCTAAAATTCAAGTGAATAAAAAATCTGATGAACAGAGTAAACTGGTGAATATAATAGAATCAGGGGCATAGAAAGGGAGTGGACTGACAATTCTTGGGGAAAGGGGTGTGGTAAGAGACTGGACAAAAATCGTACACCTGTGGATGAGGACAGTGGGAGGGTAAGGGCAGAGGGTGGAGTAGGAACTGGGTGGAGGGGAGCTATGGGGGAAAAAGAGGAACAACTAATAATCTGAACAATAAATGCTTATTTTTTTAAAAAGACAGAATAGTGAGGTCATGGATCCTCAGTCTCTTGAAGAATCAGTTGATTTTTTACCAAAGCTCCAGTGATTTGTATTGATGGGATGAGTAGAAAGTCTATAATCATGGTACTTTCAATAATTAGGGAAGATGAAAGAATCAGAGATACTGCACAATGAAGTTTTATCTTAAAGACTAGAGGCCTGGTGCATGACATTCGTGCACTGGGGGGATGTGGAGGTCCCTCAGCCTGGCCTGCGCCCTCTCGCAGGCCGGGACCCTGGCCTAAGCCAGCAGTCGGACATCCCCCGAGGGGTCGTTAAAGCTGCTACAATGGCACTGTGTTTACCAGCTTCTGGCTGAGCGGCACTCCCCCTGTGGCAGTGCACTGACCCACAGGGGACGGCTCCTGCGTTGAGCATCTGCCCCCTGAGGGTCAGTGCGTGTCATAGCGACCAGTCATTCCGCCGTTCGGTCGATTTGCATATTAGCCTTTTATTATATAGGCTAGGTTTTAAATTTATAGTGTGTGTGTGTGTGTGTATATGTTAGATGCCATTTTAGGATAATGGATTTTAAAGTTTTCTTTACTCTTTTTTATAATAGCTTTCTTCCTTTTTTAGCAAGAAGGCTTTGGCCGACCACGTGTGTACCATGCTGCAATTGTAATCTTCCTTGAATTTTTTGCTTGGGGCCTGTTGACAACTCCAATGCTAACTGTAAGTATTGCTGAACTGGGTCCTCATTTATACAAGCAAAAGAGAAATGTTTAAGCATATGTTCACAGGACCATATGTCTAAATATGTGTTTGAGAGTAGATCTTGACAGCAATTTAAAGACTGCTTATTCCATTGGGTTGTTTATGGTGTGCCAGATGGAACCACCTGCAGCAGAACACTTGGGCTGCTCATTAAGTAGTCCTGAGTAGCAGGATACTCGCACTCCACCAGAGTCCTGGTTCATAATGAATAAGCTCTATATACTTAAAAAGATCATTAAGATGTCGTAGAGGGAATTATCATAAAGCTTTGTTGAACATTATGAATTACTTTATATGGATGTGATGGCCTTTTACTTAAGAACATAAAAAACAGGAGATTGGTAAGTACCTTGTAACAATGAAAGTGATGATTGTGAGAATATTAACATTTCCATTTTGGGTAGCTTACCTACAGTCATATCTTAGCAGAGGCTGTATTGAATTTCTTAGAAAGAACTTAGATGTTTGATGTGTGGTTAGATGGAAGAGAGATATTAAGTAAAGATTGGGGTACAGATTTTAGGTGCCTAGTAACTTTTTAACACTTAATTTTAATAAAGATATTTTGAAATTGGCCTTAAATTACAGTTGTCTTAAATCGTTCTTTTAAAAAATATATATATTTCTATTGATTTCAGAGAGAGAGAGAGAGAGGGAGAACAGATAGAAACATTAATGATGAGAGAGAATCATTGATCGGCTGCCTCCTGCACGCCCCCCTCTGGGGATCAAGCCCACAACCTGGGCAGGAGCCCCAGACCGGAATCAAACCCAGGACCCCTCAGTCCACAGGGTGACGTTCTATCCTCTGGGCCAAACAGGCCAGGGTAAATTGTTCTTTAAAAATCATTGGAAATTAACTCTTCCCAGTCATCATTTTGTCTTACTCAAGGAATCCCTTTGTATACAACTAAACTTTGTTTCCCAAGTAGGTTTAGGAAATACAGAAATTTAGAGGGTGGCTATTAGCTTTACATGAGACTTCACTATATACTTTCAAGATTTTAATTCTTGTGGCACATTTAAAATACAATATGATTAAATAAAATTACAACATGGATGAAACAATCAATTTTAAAAATTGTGTTTTTAATCCTCTGTTTTATTCGTTCTCATTTTACTACTTGTTTCTTCATAATGCTTTCCTCCAGAAGGTACTGGGAAAATAAGTAGTCCCCATTTTAGTTTCATGAGATTTGCCTGCTGTGCTCATCACTGTGACCCTAGTGACTAGGGTTGCCTGGGACACAGCTGGTATTTTTCTTTGAACAAATATATATATGTTGTAGGTATACATATTTATGTCCTTAAGTGATTATTTTTTCAACATATATTTTTAGCATAAATACAGACACATCAGGCCACTCATTTTAAGAAACTGTGTTATTTGATTTTTTGCCCTAGTTCTTTATTTCTTTTTCCTCCCAGCTTTTCTAGGTTGCAAAGTTGCTTATAGTCAATATGGACGTAATCCTGTAATCATTCGTTATTGGGTAAACATTTAAATTGAATTGAAGAGTACTTTAATGTTTTTGATACCCGTCAGAAATTCTGCAACTTCCTTCTAAACTTTAAAATCCTTGGGCCTTTTTGACCCTAGACCCCTTTTAATTTTAATTAAACAAGTAAATTTTAATATGCCCCAGGGACTGATGCGCCTTCCTTGTTGCCCAAAGCAAATAATTTTCCTAGATTTTCTATATCCCTGTAGTTCCTGGAATGCAGTCTTATAAGGCAGCTAAAATGCTGCTCTCCTGTCACTTTGCAGTTTTCAAGCAGTTCTGCTGCTTGCAAGGATTTGGTTAAAATGGACATTTGTTTGTGAGGAGCAGAGTTGCTAGTATCACTTTGTCGCTCTGTGTTGTCCTAGAAGTGTTGCTGAGTTAGTGGATGTGCTTATTATTTTCTAAGCTCTTGATGTTGCTAAAAATAGTTTTTACATCTTTAAATGGTGGTTTTCCTCAATATTTTTGTTGAACTTTATTTACAAATGGGATAGATCAGGGATTGTGAAAACATGTCTTGTGGGGCTAGGCGAGGAAGTAAATGTGACAAGTGTTGGCAATTGGAATATATGTTCCTTCTACTGCACAGCCACTGTCTGCCACTCAGCCAGTCAACATGGCAGTTCAAGCCCCATGTTTTGAAATCTTCAGTGACTTTCTATGAAATGCTAGAAAGTCATATAAAGTTTGGTGAAATTTCTTGAAATTTGCAGATTGACAGCTAACTCACTATGAAAAATACAGTGAGTCAAATAGAATTACTTTGCTAATTTTCCACCTCTGGTGTAGACACCTCTGGTAGCAAGGGTGTTGTTCTCCAGCCCTGATGGAAAGTCCTGTTCCTTAGAATTGAATCACGTGCTGCTTATAGGAGCTCTTGATTTATGAAAGTTTGGGTGTCTGGGAACTCCTGTAGTACCGAAGTTGTTTATCATGTGTAGGGCTTCATGCCATTGGCAGCCATGAGTGACCTAGCGTACTATCCTTTTTTAATGAATCTTACACCATTCAATTCTTCAAGTATTTCACTTAGAAGTCCCACTTCAGATAACTATGCTTGTGATTGTGACCTTGGCGACCAATAGCAGCTTTTTTCTTTTTCTTTTCTTTTTTTAATCCTCACCAGTTTTTTCCATTGATTTTCAGAGAGAGAGTGGTGGGAGGGAGGGAGGTGGGGAGAGAGAGAGAAAGAGAAAGAGAAAAGAGAGAGAGAGAGAGAGAGAGAGAGAGAGAGAGAGAGAGAGAGAGAGAAAGAAAGAAACATCAATGTAAGAGAAGCATATCAATTGGTTGCCTCCTGTAGGAGCCCTGACTAGGCTGGGGATCAAATCTACAGCCCGCTGACCATGGCTGTAGCTCCTCAGCTCTGAGAGTAAGATTCCAGGAGCTCATTTTGTAACCTTTATTAACCCTTTCAACTGTAGATGTTTTTCCAAACAAAGGAGAGAATGGGCTACTATGAGTCAGTTTACCCACTAACATCTCAGTAAACTGTGCTGTGAATATTTGTGGGGTTTTTGCTGGCAAAATGGATGAATACCACAATGTTAAAGCATAAAAGAGGTCATCAAGAATGCTGGTATTTCTAATGGTGTGAAAACAACAATGATCACAGGCAGTTGAAGAGGTTGGAAGACTGCTGTTGATTTGGATGAATGAAAAGCAGTCAGCCTGTGACAGCAAGGAATATGCTGCATGCTATAGTGAGGGCTGAAAGTTTAAGGCCAGTAGGAGGTGGTTCGATAAATTTAAGAAAAGAAGTGTTTGTTTACAGATTAAACAGTACATTAGATATGTACTTATGTAAGAAAGTTTAAAACAATCATTTGGGGGTCTGGAACAAATTAATCCAATCTACATTATTTCTAATGGAGAAAAATGATTCGGTTTTCAAGCAGATCTTCCCGAACATCCTTCTGGAACAAATTAAGTTCGAGAACTGAGGTCCTACTATATTGTATTTTCCATATGAACAACTGTAAATCTACTTTTGCCCAACCACATATGCTTACATGCAGATATTGTACAGCTTCATTGTACAGGAAATTCATTTCTCCAGGTTTTCTAAAGTTATGTTTTTAAACTGATAAAAATAAAACTTTTATGTTTACAATAGTCCTTCCCAAGAATAAAGGTGATATCTTCCTTGAGTTTTTATTTCTTAATATGCTTTAATTGATTTTAGAAAGAGGAAAGGAGATAGACAAACAGCGGTGAATCTATTTGGCTGCATCCTGCCCTCTGCTGGGGATAGAATGCACAACCTGGATGTGTGCCCTGACTAGGAATCAAGCCAGCCCAGGATGACGCTCAACAACCAACCACACCAGCCAGGGATCCCTGAGTTTCTTAGTGTGAAAAGTGTTTAAAAAAATGAAAACTTTGATCTTATCTGAGATATTTATATCCTATCTAATAAAGAGAGAATATGCTAATTGACCCTCATTCCATCGCAAAGTTGGTTGTTCCCACAGCCTATAAGGAGGGAATATACTAATTGCTGCCCCAACCTCAAAGATAGTAGTGCCCACACCCAATAAGGAGGAAATATATTAATTGACTGCCCCACCCTCAAAAATGGTGGTGCCCACAGCCAATAAGGAGGGAATATGCTAATTGACTGCCACTCAAAGATGGCAGCTCCCACAGCCACAAGATGGCTGGCAGGGGAGGGCAGTTAGGGGTGACCAGGCTGGCAGGGGAGGGCAGTTGGGGGTGACCGGGCTGGCAGGGGAGGGCAGTTGGGGATGATCGGGCCAGCAGGGGAGCAGTTAGGCATCAATCAGGCTGGCAGGGGAGTAGTTAGGGGGTGATCAGACTGGCAGGCAGAAGCAGTTAGGGGCAATCAGGTAGGCAGGCAGGTGAACGGTTGGGAGCCAGCAGTCCCAGATTGTGAGAGTGATATCCGACTGCCAATTTAGGGATCGGGCCTAAACTGGCAGTCAGACATCCCCCGAGGGGTCCCAGATTGGAGAGGGTGCAGGCTGAGCTGAGGGACAATCTCCTCCCCCCCCCCCCAGTGCACGAATTTCATGCACCGGGCCTCTAGTACTTATAATTAGGTTTACTTTATTATGTTAACAGTTACCTTTTGTAGTTCAGTTTATTTATATCTTTAATTTCTTTGACTATCATAAAAAGTTTGAATATTGCTGTTTTCTTTACAGATGCTTTATTTTATGGAGGTTTAGTCATTAGCTTTAAAAACAATTATTGACTTCTTTTACTTATTCCTCCTATAAGATTTTACTGTTTCCTTCTCTCTTTTTTTAATAGAGAAAATTAGAAAAGTTTTAAAAAGCATAGATAGAAAAATCTTCAGAGGAACTGCCTACATTATGGCTGTTACCCAGAAATGGTCACTCAGACCGCCAGAAATTAGGAAGCAAGGACTGTCATCCATTCATGGTTATAGTTTTACCAAATTAAAAAGGTTATCTCTTATTCCTAGATAGCAGTACCTGCATCAGTGAATGCATGTTTGGATCATTTTGAGTGTAGAATTGTTTTAGGGGACATAAGGGGTCAGGACTGTGAAGACAGAGCTGGGGGCAGCGGATCAGCACTGCTGCCCCTTTGACAGCATGGGGGTAACCTGAAGTTTTGAGTGTTCACCAGCACTCCCCCCAGTGGCAGAAGCTGTGAGAAAACCTGTTGTCAAGAGAGTTTGAGAAATATCTCAAAGCTCTCAGCCTTGATCTGACAGAGTGTAGAAGGGAAAATGGGAGATTGAGAGACACTGTCACTCCCTGGATCAGAGAAGCACTTTTAAAAATATACTGATTTCTTGTTTTGCCATTTCACCACATTTTTGTGATGTGTGTGACAAATTAAATTATTAAGCACTTCTAATATTTGTTTGTATGTCTTTTTAATTTAAATTTTATATTGTTGACACCATTGTAGATTTCCTTCTACTCTCCCCTCCATTGCCCAACTACATCTCCCCCTACCTCTGTACTTGTCTTTCTCTGACTTGCATATTTCACTTAGCATAATATTTCCAGGTCTATCCATGGGTCTTTTTTTTTTTTTAACAGCTGCATAGTATTCCATTGTGTAAATGTACCACATCTTTTTTATACATTCATCTACTAGATGGGCACTTGGCTGTTTCCAGATCTTAGCTATCGTAAACAATATTGCAATGAGCACAGTGGCGCATACATTCTTTCTGACTGGTGCTTCAGGATTCTTAGGAAATTATTGTTTTGCATAGTGACTGCACCAGTCTGCATTCCCACTAGCAGTGTAGGAGGGTTCTCTTTTCTCCACATCCTTGCCAATGCTTGTTTATTGATTTATTGATGGCAGCCATTCTGACAGGTGTGAGGTAATACCTCACTGTACTTTTAATTTGCATCTACCTGATGATTAGTGACCTTGGGTATTTTTTTCAAATGGCTATTGAACATCTGTATGTCCTCTTTGGAGAAGTGTGTATTCAGATCCTTTGCCCATTTTTAACTTGGATTGTCTGTCTTCCTGGTGTTGAATTGTATTCTTTATATACAGCGTGGGTAAAAGTAGGTTTACAATTGTTCATATGGAAAATAATACAATAAGAAATAAGTAATGACATAAGAATATACTGTGTGTCTCATACTCAAAACTGTAAATCTAATTTTACCCCACTCTGTAGTTCGGAGATAACCTCTTATCAGATGAACTATTGCCAAATATGTTCTCTGTACAGTAGGCTCACTTTTCGTTTTGGTGATGGTTTCTTTTGATGTGGTCCCATTTGTTTGTTTTCTCCTTAGTTACCCTTGCCCTAGGAGATGTGTCAACAAACATATTACTACAAGAGATGTCTGAGATTATGCTGCCTATGTATTCTAGGGTTTTTATGGTTTCACTACATACATTTAAGTCTTTTATCCATTTTGAGTTTATACGTGTGCATGGTATAAGGTAGTGGTCTAGTTTGATTTTTTTTTGCATGTGTCTGTCCAATTTTCTCAACATCATTTATTGAAAAGACTGTCTTTATTCATCATATGCTCTTGCCTCCTTTGTCAAATAATAAATGAGTGTAATGGCTTGTATTAATTTCTGGGTTCTCTGTTCTGTTCCATTGGTCTATATGCCTGTTCTTGTGCCAGTACCAGGCTGTTTTAGAGTGGCTTTGTAGTATAGCTTGATATCTGGTATTGTGATTACTCCAGCTTTATTCTTTCTTTCTCAAGATTTCTGAGGGTATTTGGGGTCTTATTTGGTTCCGTATACATTTTTGGAGTATTTGTTCTAGTTCTGTGAAGTCTGTTGGTATTTTTATAGGGATTGCATTGATGCTATAGATTGCTTTAGGTAATATGGACATTTTTAATGTTGATTCTACCAATCTATGAACACTTGTTTATATCTTCCTCTATGTCTTTTTTCAATATTCTATAGTTTTCTGAGTACAGGACTTTTACCTCCTGTCCCAGGTAGATCCCAGGAAAGGATCTGGGGTGTTTATCTAAGACGTCACTTGAGATGAACTTAACCATGCAGGTCTGGGACATTCAAGTAGTTGCTAGCAAAGAGGCTGCTCTACGTAAGCAGGACCAAGGGCAGGCCTAGGACTAAAAAGACCAGAAGCATTAATTTCAATTTTAAGTGTATGCAAAATGATTCAATTAACTGCCAGAGGAATTACACCACATGAAACATACACAGTTGCAAATCACACAGCACTTTATTACTCACAAAAGTTCCTCATGCTGCACATACAGGCTTGATGGGGTCCCAGTGATGCTGTCCTCTGGGGTCCAGTAGCTGGGCTGGTCTGGTTCGGATGCAGGGGCCGGCGTTCCTCACCTGAGAGCTCGGTCGCGTCTCAATTGGGAGGTACTAACCATTCTTCTGTCGTCTGGCAGAGAGAGGAGCGTGGAGCAGCATTGCTTGCCAGACTGGCAAAAGGATGTGCCTTTGTGGCTGTCTCGACGGGTGAGCACTGTTGGCTGGTCAGGACCCATTTTTAAAGCCTGTTTCGCACCCGCAGCAGTTCAGGTGGCTATCGATGAATTACGTCAATGCACACATATTAATCTCAAACAGGGCATGGGGCTACATGTGGTTATCTAGGGAGAGTACATCACTCACTCAAATGATTATCTTGACAAGTCACTCTAAGTCAGTAACTGAAGTTCAAATCCTTATCTATGAGGTACACACGCTTCAGGGCAGTGGGGAATGTGTCCTTAATATCACACTTTAAGTTAGAAGGAAAGTTAACTCAAACATTTTAAACCCTTCTTAACATTTTTTAGACATTTTTAAAGCATTTAAAAAGTTTTCTATATTTTACTACAACACCTCCTTTGTTAAGTTTATTCCTAAGTATCTTAATTTTTTTTATTGTTGTTGCAGTGGAAAATGCAATTTTTTTGTTGTTTTAGTTTCTCTGAGAATTCGTTATTGGTGTATAAAAATGCCATCAATTTCTGGGAGTTACTTTTGTATCCTGTTACATTGCCAAATTCATTTATTAAATCTAGTATTTTTTTTTTTTTTTTTGGTGGAGTTTAGGGCTTTCTATGTACAATATGATGTCACCTATGAATAATGATAGTTTTACTTACTCCTTTCCAATTTAGATGCCTTTTATCTCTTCTTCTTGTCTGATAGCTGTGGCTAGGACTTCCAGTACTGTGTTGAATAAGAGTGGAGAATGCAAACATCCTTGTTTTAGTTTTTGCCCATGATTGTTGGCTATAGGTTTGTCATATATGGCCTTTATTATGTTGAGGCATGATCCCTCTGTTCTCACTTTGCTGAGAGGTTTTTATTAAAAATGGGTGTTGGAGACAACCAAGATGGCAGCATAGGTAAACACCTGAACTTGCTGCCACGCACAACCACATTAAAAATACAACTAAAAGACAAAACAAATATCACCCAGAACCACGGGAAAGTTGGCTGAGTAGAAATTCTACAACTAGAAGGAAAGAGAAAAGTGCATTGAGTCCCATAGAAGGTGCAGAGGCGTGGAAGTACGGAGGCGTGCGCGAAATGGGCTGGCAGCTGGATACGTTGTTGTCTTTTTCAACCGGGAGGGAGATACAAGCTCCCGACTCCTCTGAACTCCAGCTCTGGGCGAGAATTTGGGGACCCAAACTCATATGGAGAGAAACTGTACTGTCTGGCATTGGGCCGGAGGATGAGGGCAGGCTTCTCACAGAGGTGCTTTCAGCGTTCATTGTTCCTGCACAGGGCCACGGAACACAGAGACCCAGGGACCTATCCAGGGGGAGGGCCATTGGGCAACTATTACTGTTTACACCACACCATGATTCCCAATTTATGACCCCACCCAAGCTGTGCACAGAGGCTTTTACATACTAATGGCCTGGCCTTTCTCTGCCTAAAAACCTATCAGACTGTAGCTGCGTCAGAGAACCACAGAGCTTCCAAAAGAAGGCCTAAGGCTCGTCAGCAGCCTGCATTACTATACAGGTGTGCCTCATCTGGGCATCTCCAAATCCCAAAGAGTAAGAATCTGCAGATCTCTCTGTAGCTCCTGCTGGGTGGCCTCAGGCAGTGGCAGATTTTACACCTTGGTGATCCAAGAGCCAGTGTATCCAGTAGTCAGAGTGAGACCATCCAGATTACAACTCTTCACATCCATAAGAGACAGACTCAGGGGACAGATTCAGTGAGCATCAAAGCCCCACTGAAGCAAGTTCTGCCCCATAAGGATGTCTTCAGCACAGAAGTTCTCCCACTGTAGACACAGCTGATTCTCACAGACAATTGGCCTGGAGGTCAATTCCTCCCAGTGACACCAACAGCAAAGCTTAACTACAACAAGACTGTGCACACAGCCCACAAAGGGGTGCACCAAGAGTGTCCACCTCAGATAAATAGGGAGGCTGAGCCACTGGGCTCTATAGGACACCTAGCACAGAAAGACACTCTATCAACACAGGGAAGCAGCCAGAATGCGGAGACAAAGAAACAGGTCACAAATGAAAGAAATGGAGGAAAGTAAACTACTGGATATAGAGTTCAAAACCATGGTTATAGGTTTTTCAAGAATCTTCTAGAAACCTCCGAGAAATTTAGTGAGACCCTCAAGGATATGAAAAAGGACCAATTAGAAATAAAGCATACACTGACTGAAATAAAGAATGATATACAGAGCTCTAACAGCAGACTAGAGGATCCTAAGAATCAAATCAAAGATTTGAAATATGAAGAAGCAAAAACGCCCAGCCAAAAAAGCAAAAGGAAAAAAGAATACAAAAATATGAAGATAGTGCAAGGAGCCTCTGGGACAACTTCAAGCATACCAACATCTGAATTATCGGGGTGCCAGGAGAAGAGAGAGAACAAGATATTGAAAACCTGTTTGAAGAAATAATGACAGAATACTTCCCCTACCTGGTGAAAGAAATAGACTTACAAGTCCAGGAAGCACAGAAAGTCCCAAACAAGAGGAACCCAAAGAGGACCACACCAAGGCACATCATAATTAAAATGCCAGGGGCAAAAGACAAAAAGAGAATATTAAAAGCAGCAAGAGAAAAACTGTTACCTACAAGGGAGTACCCATACGACTGTCAGTTGATTTCTCAACAGAAACTATGCAGGCCGGAAGGAAATGGCAAGAAATATTCAAAGTGATGAATAGCAAGAACCTACAACCAAGATTACTCTACCCAGCAAAGCTATCTGTAGAATTGAAGGTCAGATAAAGAGCTTCACTGATAAGAAAAAGCTAAAGGAGTTCATTACTGCCAAACCAGTATTACATGAAATGCTTAAGGGCATCCTAAATAATAAAAACTCTGGGAGTAACGTCACGACTGAGGCTCGACCAACCGGAAGGAAGTCAGTCCTGCAGGGGTTGTCTTGGAAACGGCTGCACCCTCCCCGAGTTGTTTCGGTAAGGGTGGGATTTCAGGCAGGAACTGGCCCTTGGAGCATGGCCCCACTGAGTCCTGGGTCCTCTTAGCAACAGCTGCACCCTCCCCGAGCTGTTTCTGGTAAGGGTGAGGTTTGAGGCAGGAACTGGCCCTCGGAGCATGGACACACTGAGTCCTGGGTCGCGTTGCCAAGGGCTGCGCCCTCCCCGAGCTGTTTCCCAGGAGTGCGAGGTTTGAGGCAGGAACCGTCCCTCAGAGCGTGGAGGCATATCTTTATAAAGTTTTAATACATTATATTAGATGTCTTGGTAGTACTGTTTTACCCACAGTGTCTACAGGAATTGCTGCAAATTTATTTCTTGGTGGAAGCACCTTTCATTCCCAATATAAATCACCCATTCCACTAAATGGAACTTCAATTTCTAGACTCAATATAAACAGTGAAGTTGCTAAAACTATTAAAAAGGCCCAACTTCTCATTGTTGATGAATGCACCATGGCATCCAGTCATGCTATGAACGCCATAGACAGATTACTAAGAGAAATTTGAATGTTGTATTTGGTCGAAAAGTTCTTGGAGGGGATTTTCAACAATGTCTCAGTATTGTACCACATGCTATGTGATTAACCATAGTACAAACTAGTTTATTTTTTTTTAAAATATATATAATTGGTTCTTTACAGAGAGGAAGAAAGAGGGATAGAGAGTTAGAAACATCGATGAGAGAGAAACATCGATCAGCTGCCTCCTGCACACCCCCTACTGGGGATATGCTCGCAACCAAGGCACATGCCCTTGACCGTAATCGAACCAGGGACCCTTCAGTCCGTAGGCCAACGCTCTATCCACTGAGCCAAACCAATTAGGGGTTTTTTGGGTTGTTTTTTTTTACAAACGAGTTTAAAGTACTGTAATGTTTGTAGATGTTTCAGAAAGTTGTCTCTTAAAACAAATATGAGATCAGAGGATTCTGCTTATAGTGGATGGTTAGTAAAACTTGGAGATGGCAAACTTGATAGCAGTTTTCATTTAGGAATGGATATTATTGACATCCCCTGTGAAATGATTTGTAATGGATCTATTATTGAAGCTACCTTTGGGAACATTATGTCTATAGCTAATATTAAAAATATATCTAAACGTGCAATTCTTTGTCCAAAAACTGAGCACGTTCAAAAAGTAAATGAAGAAATTTTGGATGTATTCGGTGGAGATTTTCACACATATTTGAGTGATGATTCCATTGATTCTACAGATGATGCTGAAAGGAAAATTTTCCCATCCAATTTCTTAATAGTATTACACCTTCGGGAATGCCGTGTCATAAATTAAAATTGAAAGTGGGTGTAATCATGATGCTATTGAGAAATCTTAATAGTAAATGGGGTTTTTGTAATGGTACCAGACTTATTATCAAAAGATTACGACCTAACATTATCGAAGCTGAAATATTAACAGGATCTGGAGCGGGAGAGGTTCTGATTCTAAGAATTAATTTGTCCCCATCTGACACTGGCCTCCCATTTAAATTGATTCAAGAACAGTGTCCCGTGATGCCAGCATTTGTGATGACTATTAAAAAATCACAAGGACAAACTCTAGACAGAGTAGGCATATTCCTACCTGAACCCGTTTTTGCACATGGTCAGTTATATGTTGCTTTCTCTCAAGTTTGAAGAGCATGTGACGTTAAAGCTAAAGTTCTAAATACTTTATCACAAGGGAAATTAGTCAGGCTCTCAGAAAGTGTTTCACTCTTAATGTGGTATACAGAGAGATATTAGAATAAGTTTAATCACTTTATCAGTCATTGTTTGCATCACTGTTGTTTTTATATCATGTTTTTGTTGTTTTTATATCATGTTTTTGTTTTCATATCATGTTTTTGTTGTTTTTATATCATGGTTTTTTGGGTTTTTTTTTTTTTATTGCTTAAAGTATTACAAAGAGTATTACATATGTCTCCTTTTTTTCTCCCCCGCCCTTGACAATCCCCTGGCCTCCCCTAC